ATAAATACTTCATACACTCTTGAGGACTGATACAAGAGTTACCTAGAAGTTTTCAAACTAAACTTTTTCAAAACCCACAAACACAAGAAAAGCAAACATTTTTGAAAACATAGTGAGCAAGTACCTAAGAGCCCGTGGATAACCACAGATAGAAAGGGTGCTAATACCTTCCCTTTCTATAAATCTACCTCCCGAACCGAGAAACATCTCGAAAAGGAATTTTGCTGTGCTTTTGTTCTTTCCTTGTTGGAGAACATAAAAGACGGTGACGACTCTTGCTTACCGCGACATTTCGCGAACCAGTATTTCAAAACAGTCAGTTCTATTCCCACCGATCACAATATCCATGATGAATGCAATGAGTTTTTAATGATGAATTTCTGGCATCCTGATTCGTTTGCATGAATGATTTTATAACTCTGATTTATTATATAATTGCCGGGTAGAATTGGGGTGTTACAGGAACCGCCATCCTTTTTCCAATACTGAGCTTGCAGTGCCTGTATCGAGTCCTGAACTTTTTTTCTTTCGACAATCTTCATCTCATGTGCCTCCAACGAACCAACCAAATCTTCCACTTTTAGGGTTTCAAGTTTGTTGGATTCTTGAATATCTATGATAACGTGATCAAAGTGAGATGTTAATATTCTCATTATCTTCTTAACTATCATCTTATCAGTTATGGTTTCACCACAACCCTTCATGAGATGGACGAGTTTTTGAACCTTCGACACATATTCTGCAACTCTTTCGTATTCTCCCATTGACAACAACTCTTATTATCAATGCAAGGTTTGTAACTTGACAACCTTTATCTTCTCATCTTCTTTATAATACTTCACCAGAATATCTCATGCCTCCTTCGTCGTTTCAGCATGAGAAATCTTGTTGAAGTTAGTAGCGTCGACCGCCATCTGAATGCAATAAGCAGACTTGCAATCTTTCTTCTTGACCTTGTTGTGGGATTTTTTCTGTTCATTGGTTGCATTTGCAACCAACACAGGAACGTCGTTGGTAACCACTTCTAGGCTTTCATGAAAGTCAAACAAGGGTTGCATCTGTTTTTTCCATCGGATCCAATTTTTACCGTCAACCATTGGAAGAGAATTCACAATGCCCTTATCACTAGCCAATCTTTGCAGCCGTTGATTCAGTTGTCCAGGAAACACGATCTCTGACGCGAAGTTCTTGAAAATTCAATCAAGAACAATAACCGGAAGCTTTGGATACCAATTTTTTAGTGTGTGAGACACTTTTAACGAGGAGAGAAAGAGAGAATAATAAAGGAAATAAGAATTCTATTATTCACTTAATGAATTGTATGCAATAAAGATACATACTATGACTATTTATATACAACCCTAATTGGACTTGAGATAACACAACTTGGATTATATTTAAATATTAAATATAATCAAATATAATCTAATGTATTTTAATATTTTAACAATAATAAGATTAAAGAGATAAGTATAGATCATATACTTAGTGTAGTAAAAACTTCTGATAGAAACGATCGTGCTGATAACGTGTTGAGAAAAGTTGGATAATTGAATCTAACTTAGTTAGATTTGTGAAGCTAATGTGATGATGGTTTGCAATATCAAACTAAATGGAAAGTGAATAAGTGAGTAGAATGATATTTCAAAGTGAAATTGGTGTGTCTTTTACAATTATTAAATGAATATATTTACACTAGTAAAAATATTACTATTTTACTAAGTAAATAATTAGCATTACTATTCTATCTTTGACAAATTATACATCACTAATAATTTATCATTACTATTCTATTAATATGGATATTTCTAAAATAATAATAATTTTAATTTATAACATTTTCCACGTTGTTACTTAGATTAAAGTTCAAGTATAATTTGTGATCGTACCTGATCAGAAGGGATCGTCAAGGCCCACGAGCTTTAAGTTAAGCAGCGGTTGAACGTGAAGTGGTGGAAAATACATGCAAGATACTACTAAAGTAAGAGTCTAGACAATCAGAGTGCAAGTAACAGAAGTGAGGTAGAATGAGTGAATGAATGAATATCTGACCCTCTAGAGTGAGAGGGTTTATATAGCTCCCAGCGCTAGGCCAAGGTCTTCAGTGTTGGACATGATGAGGCCCAATAATGAAGACTGCCAGGGTTTACAGGTATTTGGAGTTCAACACGTGGCCTCCTCCCTGGTTAATTTCCCCGCGAAAGTAGAAAAGTTGGACCTGTTCTTCTCAGAGAGCAGAATGATGACGTTGTGGACACGTGTGTCATACTCTTCTAATGGACACGTTAGGAAATGTCCAACGGTCCTCCGTTTAGGCTGCATGCTTTTAGACCTTTGTAAAGACACCAGATTGGACCTCCCCAACGGTGAGGCAAATGCCAACCCAATCTAGAACAATTTGAATTTAGTCTTTTATTAACAAGTAACTTTATATTAGAGAATGCAAGAGTACTTGATGGGTAAATATTAATCTTAAATAATTAGAATTAATTGTGTGATCTTTGTGTATCTCTTGTGAAGACTCGTTGACAGTGAATTAAATATAAAAAGTTTGTTCTCTTCTAAAAATGTAAGACCTTGTTTAGTTGGTTTGTAGCTTATAATTTATAAGCTTATATGATAATAAAAAATTCATCTAATACCAGTCTTTTCATCATAAATTTATAATTTATTTTATTAGTTTATAACTTATTTTCTTAATATTATTTTAATATTTTAAGTAAAATCCATTTTTACTCAATATGATTTATTTTAATTTAAAATAAAATAATTATATATTAAATATTTTTTATACTATATTAATTTATCAGTTGAACTATTAATTTTATCAAAATATTTTAATTAATTTATTAATTATAAATTATTGATTATTAACTATAAATTACTAATATAAATTATAAATCATAAACTATAAACTATCTTACCAAAATCTGTCAATAAATATCTTTGTTATTGCACTATTCTCTTTATTCTTTGTTATCTTCGATTTAATGGTTTAAAATTTTGTTTTCAAGTATGTTCTAGATTTTTCTTTTCTTTTTTTAATTTTTAGGTTAAGTTTCTAGATTTGTTTTTATTTGAAGTGTTTTTGGATTGACCTAATAATGAATCACTCGCATTTATTATTTCCTTGATATAGAGCTTTCAAGCGCACAAGTGCAGAAGGTTATGTCAACGGAATTGGGAACATCCAAACTAAATTTGCAATGGTCACATAAATAACATATCAGAAAAATAGACAAGTGTTTTCTCACAAATTCATGAATACAAAATTGTTTTGTTTTTGGGCGGTGGTTGGAAGGACACAAATGTTTCTCCCACACTCTTTTACTATTTCATATTACTTTAGCTTATCCTTTCTCATTACTTTAGCTTTTATTTTAAGTTGTTAGGAATTTTATGGCCAAACCTATGATTATATATGAGTAAACACGTGTGGAGTGAATATAAATTTTGTTTAACTTTTTCAAAGTTTGTGGACTAAAGGGATAAAAAAATGAAAGGCACGATTGTGTATGACATCAAGTGTTCAGTGACAGCTTCCAAACAGACAGGTTTAGGGGAGGGAACAAAGCTACATGAAAAAACATGATCAAAAAATGTATTTTAAAAGAGGGTCCATTCAAAAAGAGATAATGTTGACAAATTAGTAGAAATGGGTAGGGGTATATAATCTGTCGGTTTGGATCGATTTTGAATTGAAAATTTAAATTCGAAGCAAATTATGATTTTATTTTCAAAGTATTATTCAAATTTCAATGATTTATTATATCAAAGATTAAAATAAATCGATAAAAATGTTGAAATAATATATTAAATATGAGTAAGTGGAAAAATAATCTTATATTAGATAATAATGCAGAGACTTGAATATATGTAAGTGACATAACTCATTCACATTTCACCTTAAAATTTTAAATGAATAAGCGATATATCTCACAAAGATATTTATTTTTACACTATATATCAATGTTCCCTTTACTATGTGAATTATATATAAAAAAGCTCTAAATTACATTAATAGGGTACGGATATAAACATTGTGCCTACGTAGGTAGGCATGGGTTCAAATACAAATTCTTTTCGAACCATGAGGATGAATATTATAGTAAGAATCCAAATTCTACTTATTGTTATAAAAATAATTGATTAAACGGATAAGTGCAATTAATGAAACTCATTTTCCCACTCCAATAGCTTAAAATTGTCATCATTTTACACATGCAATAAAAATTAGTAAATGACAAATACACGAGTCTTGAGAAAATGGAGCCTTGTCTACTCTTCGAAACACTCATAATGGCATTGTCTATTTATTTGTCCATTATAAGGAATAATTTATTTATAAAATAAATTTCCCAACTTTATAATTTTTATATAATCACAAAAAAAGTGATCTTACCTAATAAACCTTTATATGAATCTGAATTATCTCTGAATCTAGTATCCACACATTTGTCGGAAGCACGTTATTTTTTTGTCTAGCCTTCTCAAAAATTAAAAAGACTTAATACAATAAATAAGTGGTGGATTATTTTAATAATAAATATAAAAGTATATGAATTATTGAATTTCAGTACATTAAGATGTACGATATCCTTTTAATATAAAATAATAATGAATGAATATACTTTTTTTTAAGTTTTTTTATCACCGATTTAGCCTGATTTAAAAATGAATTTTAACATTAAATAAATTTAGTCTTTCCGATTTATTATTATTGATGAAATAATCTGAAAACAGGTACACAGTTAGCAGTTAGCAGGTACACAAGATTTAAACTTGGCTTCTTAATTACTCAAATTAACTGCTAATTAAACTCATAATGTGGAAAAATACATTTTCTAAAGAAAAAGAAAATGACCAAATTATCCTTACAGGTTGTTTCCCACTACATTGACAAAGTAAAAGTGATAAAAAAAGCAATTAAATTCTTCTACAGAATTAATCTTGAGTAACTTCAAAAGTAGATGCAGCAATTAATAGAACTCATCTTTTCTTCACCTCATTCCAAAACCTTTTTTGCTTCCATACCATCTCCTAAATAAATAAATACAAATTAAATCATTAAACTCAATAAACTATTAGTAAAACTTTCTACTAATTAGTCCAAAAAATAATATTAACTTACTTGTTGCTTTGAAGTTCATTTTCTGATTGAGATGCTTGTAAAAAACCAAAATTTTCTTCTTGATATGAAGATCTTCCCTGCAAATAAATGAAACAATTTGAGCAATTACAAAATTATAAAGTTTAAAATAGTAAAAAATCAAAAGAACAAAATCAAGCTAATAAATACCTCAAAATAGTTAGTTGCTGAAAAACCTTGTGAATAATTTTGTTGATTTGTCTCAATAACATTGTTCTAAAAAATTATCAAAAATCATAAGTAAAATACTAAAAAAAATGCTAACAATAATTTTATTTTCTTAAAATACTAAAAAAAAAATTGAAATAAAAAAATTAAAAAACTTACAGTTGAAAAGTCAAAGACATGAGAGCTAGCAGTATCATGAAGAAAAGAAGGAAGATTCTGTTGAACTTCTTCAACATTTTCTCTAACTTTTTGTTTCTTTGTTTCACTTTTGTTGTTTTGTTTCACTAAGGAATTACCATTGTGTTTTTCATTGTCATAAGGAATATGTGGAGGACCAGAAGAAGCATCAGAAACCATGGACAAATCTTGAGAGTAATTTTCATCATTTGTGATGACTCTTTTGTCTTTGTATTTCCCATAATACCCTTCACTTCCATCTATGAATCTAGTATTTTCTCCATAAGAATGTTGGAAGTATAGAGTCCAACCTGACTCACATCCACTACTACATTCAGAATCAAATGCACTCATGTTCATTTTTTTTTCTAGTGTATGATGATGAATTTAAGAAAGAGTAGGTGTAGTAAGATGTTATAAAAGGATGAATAGAATGGAACGTTGTTAACGTGAGTGTCTCATTCTCATTAGTGTTTGGTTTTGGAGTTGAGCAACTTGGATAAAAAACCAAAGAGAATCAATCACATTAAAATCATATACAAAATTTTGTCTCTATTCTTTTTTTGTTTTTGTTGGATGAAAAGTTTAATTAAAAATTACACTAGTCATTTCTAGAATTTATTAAAATAACACTTATATTTTTTTAAATATTCATTTTTAATCTCTCTAATTTTATATTTTAATTTATTAGATATGAATTGAATTTTTATGAATAGGATGAAAATATGTAAGTAGTTAATTTTGTCTTTATTGAAGGCAATAAGAGAATGAATAAAAAAATGCCAGTTGTGTATGTTATAATGGGTGCATGTAAGAATTCACACCACAGCACCATACCCCATTGATTCACATGCTAGACAGCAAAGCACAATGTACCCTCTTAACAAAACAGACTTCACGTCCATTTCCAAGTCTCTACTATTGACACCTATGCATATACCTACTATACAGTATTATCCTTATTCTTAAATAAATATATATGGCTACTATCATCAACTCAAGGGTCACTATTAATACTCAAATATAGGATTTTATAAGGTACAATATTAACCTGATTCCTAGTTCAAGTATGAGAAAAATATTATTATGCTATTTTGAACATAAATAGTGCACAGTGTTTGGTAATAATAAGGTTATCCTATAATGTCCTTTTTATTTCTTCTTTTTCATGTGTTTCTCATTAATCATGTTATGTGATTAAAAGATAGCTCTAGTAGGAGTATATTACTACACTAATGATGAACAAGTCCTTTTTTACTTCTTTTTTTTTGTGTGACTGCCTCATCCTTTTTAGGGAAAACATTAACCACCATGCTTTTTTGTGTATGTGTGGAAGGTGAAACTAGTGTTCTTGATTAGGGGTGGACAGAAACCGGATTTTGAAAAATGGGTTGGATAATTCTGGATTATGGATTCACACAAATCATATTGAATTAGATATATTGGATGATTTCTGTTAATAATATTATTAAAGAGTATTTTAATATTTTTAATTATTATAATAACTTAGTCATTAAGTCTTTTGTTAGAGTCTACGTGGCAATTTATTTTATGTATAAATAGATTAGTGGTAGCTGTCATTTGTAACCTTCAAATCATTCATTTTGTAAGCTTTCTAGCCGTCATTGCAGTAAATATCTCTCTCTTACATTTCCTTCATTTATTAACCCTGTGCACCAATAATTGGTATCTAGAGCTCTGGTTGGATTCACGGGAAACACGAGTGAAATGCTGAGGCGTTGTGTGATTGATTTTGGTTCTTGAATTCATGTTGAACCTTTAATAAAATCTTAACATAATCACATTTTTTGATTTTGTGGGATTGGAAAACACTGTTGTAGTACGGTGGCAGAACCGACTGTTAATACTGGTTTGCGTATTGTATTCACAAATATCGCAGTAAGCAAGAGTCGCCACCGACTTTTATTTCATCCAACAAAGGAAAAGGAAAAAGAATAGAAAAAACCTTTTTCGAGATGTTTCTGAGTACGGGGAGGTAGATTATGAAAGGGAAGGTGTTAGCACCCTTTCTATTTGTGGTTTTCCACGGGCTCTTAGGTACTTGCTCATTTTGAAATTGCTTGTGTGTGTTTTGAAAAGTTTTTTATTTAACTTCGTGATAACCCTTGTATCTGTCCTCAAGAGTGTGACGAAGTTGTTTTCGAAAACTGTTTTGAAAGTGTTTGTGTGAAAGAGTTTTTATTGTCTTGAGCAAGTACTTAAGATTTTCTACCTACTCGAAAAAGGCTGTTCGTTTTCTTGTTTCCTTTAGACAACACTATCCTACTATTAAGGAGTAGGTAGCCCCATCGTTGGAGTTTTAAGGGATATTCGAAGGGACAAGTACGGTCACAAAAGCAATGGTTAGGAAACCTTAGTAAAATTACCCTAAAGTCCTAAAGATCTTTCCGAGGCAACATCCGAACGAGTCATTTTTGATCTTTTGAGACTAGAGGACGACCACTAAAATTTCCTATGATTCATGACCGTTTACCGAAGGCAACCAGAGTGAGGCAAAACCTAGGAGTGAACATGTGCATGTGTTATTTTTCAGTTTATTTATCTTTGCACAATTAGGGTTATCTATCGTTTTAATTTCATCTGTCTTTTGCATACAAGCCTATTATCCATACATCTAGGCAGTTTATGATAGCAGAAAGTAAAAGTGCAAGAAATTAAAGTCCTAACTATTACAAGGCCTCGGAGAGGGGTTACATAACCAAAACTTGGGGAATAAACAATAAGTAAAAAACGGTAAAATAAACCCTAATTAAAAACTATTACAAACCTCGAAACAGTTACAATAATGGGAATTATAAATAAGTAAATGCGCGCGAGACGAATTAAATACGGGAATAAATTAGAAGCCTAAAAAAATCTAATTAATTAAAAAATATTTTTGTGTATTTTTTTATTGAGAAAATAATTAAATTGCAAAATAAACTTAATTTCTAGTTAATTTTATTTAACAAAATAATCAATGTTGAAATAATTAAAATAATTAATTTTCAAAAATTAATTTTAATTATGAAAACCTAAATCTATTTTTTTTTGTGATTTTTGATTTAATAAAAAAACGAGTTTTGTTGTTTTTGTAAAAAATAATTAAACAAATAAATAAAACAAAAGAAAATTAAAAATAAAATAAACTGGGCCTGTTGTGAAAGCCACTCTGGGGGGTGCATTGTTGATTTTCCAGGCCCAAGATTGCTGGCCCAAGGACTGCGTGTGATTCAGTGCATTCAGATCTGGAATGTCCACCATGTACTGCACTCACTGAGCGTTGGATCTGGATCCAGGGATGATCTAATGATTGGATCTGGAAGATGCAAGATGGCCTTCATGGGTAATACACACTGAATCTTGTAAAGAAGTGATTGAAAAATAAAATGTTTGGACATGGGATCGAACTCAGGTCCTTCCACTCATACACTCGCTTGCTTTACCGTATGGACTGAATGGTTTATTTGTTAACATAATCAAACAAATAAAATATAAAGAAAATAAAGTGGTCTTTCCCAAACGCGCGCGTCATTCAAATTATCCGATGGGGTTCTGCAACCTAATTGTCTTCTTCCCCACACTGTTGTCTTTGATGCCAATCTTTTACCTACGGACAAAACTGTCACTAAAGGCTATAGTGACAGTTTTTATCCATAACTATTAACCTGCAACAATTAAAAATGCAATACAAGTCACATCAATCCTAACTAAGGGCATAAATCAATTAGAAATTATGCCCTGAGTTCATTGGTATCCTTGATCTGTCCTAATTTTGCCTCTATGGAGAATCCCTAATTTGAAGCTTTCAAACCCTAGCAATCGTGTAAGCCTGTTCCTTCGCTAAAACTCAAATCCAGGCATTCAAACATATTCCAAGCATGATTATAAACACATTTATGTAAACGAATTCGACTTAAAACATGTAAAACCAAGAAAACGAATTTAAGTTATAAAGGTGCAAACCGTGATCCGTATCTTACGATTTTGGATGCTTTGTGACTGTAAAGTGATTGGAATCGTTTCAGAATACGTCCAGGAATAGATTAATGGCTTTAAAATTTCTTGAATTGGACTGTAAATAAAAATCCAGTCTGCACTTTTCTTTGGAAATTTGAAACTTTGTTTGACTCTTTTGAACAAGCTGCGCCTCTGTAATCTCATCCTTAGGGTTCAAAATGCCCTGCTATATGTATATGAATCAAAATAGGTTAACAAATTTGGATCAAATCCAAAGAATAAAGGCATGGCTTTAAGAGGAAATTAAATCTTGAAAATTTTCCAAATGTAGATATTTTGTGTCTATTCTTGGCTTGCACGATTTGCTTGATGCTACACAACATATTTGGATTATCCTTTAATGCAAAATCAAATCAAAACAATTTTTTTATTATTTTGTATCATTTACTTGATTTTATTTGATTTTATTAGTGATAAAATCAAAATAAATTAAATAAATAAACCTAATAATGCATGGAAAGGTGTATGGGTCGTGGACCAGGCTAGGAGTGTGTTGCAAGCATACAAAGTTAGGCCCATTTGAGAAAAAAAATACAATTTTGAGCATTGTTGACTTTGGGCAAATTTCCAAAAATGGCCAACTTTGACAATGCATATCTCTCCCAATTTTGACTCTAAGAGGGTGTTCTTGGACTTTTAAGAAAGCTTAGTATGTCTTCTAAACAACCATTTTGGTTTCACCTCAATTGGATTTTCCATGCTCATGTAAGAAGCTTTGACCCAAAAGGTGTTTTTGTTGACTTTTTAAAATGACCTATAATGTCTGAATTCATATCTCTTCATGAGTGAATTTTTTGAACTTGAGGGCTGAAGATGAGTTGTATGGAATTTCATCCTCCTAAAAATGAGCCTTGGATGGTAAATGTATGATAAAGTATGAGAAAGTTATGCCTGGTCAAAGTTTGGTTGATTTTTCCTACAGAAACCCTAATTTAGCAACTTTTGAGTTGTGATGAATTTGAGGCATTCCTTGAGGAATCATGATCAACCCTTGATAAAATTATGAATATAACTTCAAAATGTTGATGTTGACCAAAAATATTGAAGTTTGACTGTATGTGGGCCATAATTGACTTTTGACCTAGTATAGTTGATTTTTAGGCATTTGAGCAGTTGACTGAGCAAACTCCTTGTGCAAGGCTTGAAACTTGGCATGGCTAATATTGAGGACATATTGAGACCATGGAAAAGATTTGAGACCTTTGGAGCTCACCCATCTTGATGAAAATGGAAACCCTAGTTTGAGGCTCATTGCCCTAGGAGAGAATTTGTCTGATTAATTCTTGGGCATCCTTGAGCAAGTTGAGGACTTCAATGAGCATATGTTGAGTAAAATGAGA